TCTTCACAAACTAGAAATAGAAGGGAATTCCATTAATGTGATAAAACATTTCAACCAAAAGTATATAGCAGTTCCTGATGTTTTCAAATGACAAATTAATAACAGAAAAACTTTTCTAAAAAGCATTTGTCAGAATCCTACAATAAACAAAATATTTCATGGGAAACCATTACAAACATTAACATTAAATTCAAGAACAATACAAATATTATCAGTATCACTTCTACAATTTATAAATAGGGCCTAGCCTAGATGTAAGAGGTTTAAAAACTAGTGGAAAAGAACAAAGCTGCTATTACATGTAAATAATATGATAGTCTACAAATTTTTTTTAAATTAGAATAAAAGAAACCAACTATACAATTAACAAATTCAATTGTTTCATTATATGCCAGTGCTGACTAATTAGATATATCTCATTTTTAAAAAGTATCCCATTCACAAAACCCACAAAAACTATTAAAGACCTAGGAATAAGCATAAGAAGGAATGTATAAAGAAAACTATGAAATCTAGATGGTCTGAATAAAAAATATGCAATATTCCTAAATTTAAAAGTTTCTTACATTGAAATTTTCAATTCATGGCAAAAGTACCTATAAATCCAAGGTAACTTCATTCAAAAACCCCAAAAGGATTGTTTATGAAATATGCTACACTTAGTCTATAATTGTTCTGCAAAATAAAATGGGTAAAAACAGGTAATATAATTTTGAAAAAGAACAGCATACCCTGCCTAATTATCAAAACGCAGCACAGTTACAGAAATTACAACAGTCTGGAAAGGCCCATGAATAGGCCGATCAACTGAACAAAGAGTCTAGAAACACATGTGTTTATTTCAGGCTGACTATTCCCGTTCTCCACCCTTTCTTGGCCAACTCTGCTCAAGAGGCTGTATTTTACAAACTGCCTGACAGGCTTCTTGGTCCTCTGGATTACAGAGGCGGTCAGCCAAATGGGAGACACTGGCACAAAGATCAGAGAGAGAAGAAAGAGAAGGCAGGGTATTTCACTCCCATTGTCTTTTTTCAGAACTGGCTATAGCTGCATCTCTCTGAACCACAGCTTCTATTGAGCCTCTCTTCAACAGCTACAGCTCTCACCAGGTTCCAGCAACACCATTCTCTGCCCTTGCCCCTTACACCTGAAAGTGGACAAGTTTCCACAGTGGATTTATCATCCTTTATTGTTGTCTTAATCTTGCTCATACCTCTGTGAATACGGCTTTCACTGAACTCTGTCATTAAATCCTTGAATATAACTGTTATTTCAAGCTGGATGCCAAACTGACATAGAAATTGGTTCTAAGAGTGGCCAGTGAAAACAGGCCCTTTAAATGGAATGCTTGTGGACACAGTGCTTATATATTTAATGAGCACATAGATAGCAACCTTGCTGGAGGTACATGGGACACTGGCAATCTATGGCACCACAATTACATATCATATCACCTGATGGAATATAGATGGGAAATAAGACATTACGAGATCAAGTGGGCTGTGCTACTTAATCTGTATGACAACACTGGTAATAATATGATGGTAAATTAGGTTGCCTAAATAGAATACAAGAACATAAAATAGCTTAAGACTTTAAGCTCCTAACTTTAAGCACAGTTAGATAATTAGAAATTATCCATCATGACCCTAAAGAAATTCCTTATATCATGTGGCTGCAGGACAGTTATGTCTAAGAGTCATGACATTAGGGTTGAAGGCTTGTAATGCTAATCCAAATGTGAAACCCTGTGAGATCTCTTATGTTGAAATAAAGGTAGTGTCCAGGAAATAATGAGATCCTGCGTTCTTGAAGATGTATACTTGAATTGACACAGATAAGGGAACTTTGAACTTTTAAACACCCTGACCCTTCCTTGATGAAGTTAGCAGCCCTAAACCTCGTCTGAAGGAATTGGACTTTGTAAAAGTTGATCACATGAATTGGGTCATTCTTGTCATCCCCAACTAAAACAGGGGTGAGAGGTTGGGAGAGAAAAGGACTCAGGACATGTAACATTACTCTAAGAATGTAATTATCTGCAAGCCTGGCCTCTGAAACTACCTGCTGTAACCTGAAACCAGTTTTATCTAATGGCTAAAACAACCTGCTGTGACTCTAAAAATAGTTTTATGCATCACAATCACTAAGCAATCAGAACTTGACAGCTCCCCAAGACTTTACTAAAGCCAATAAATTTTCTTAAAGAGCAAAATGTAGGTAATGTTTCTCTTTTTGTATAAAAGCTCTAGCCTTCTCTTTGTTCTCCAGGCATGCCAAAGACCACCCTGTCTGTATATATGTCCTGAATTGCAATTCTTGTTTCCCAAATAAAACAAGGTAAATTTAGAGGTTCATCTCTATACTTCATTTGACTTTGACACCTTCCATTGCATAAATTAAATTCTTTCACAGACTTCACCTGTAGCAGTAGACTCTTAAGGGACAATGCACCTCCACAAATTTTTATTGTCTTCAAGGTCATATCGAAAGTGAAATTTTAATATATGTAGGGGAAAACTGCAAAAATGTGTCCTAGGAGGAGACAATTTATACAACAAAGTGCTGTAAGATGCCAAGAGGAACCTGGGCAAAACAGGCAGAGGAGGGGCTGGTTAAATTCACACCTAACAGGTACAATGCACACTATCTGGTAGATGGGCACACTTATAATTTTGACTCAAACTATGCAAAAGCAATTTATGTAACCAAAACATTTGTACTTCTGTAATATTCTGAAATTTAAAAAAAAAAAAAAAAAGTGCTACTACTACGTACCTGTTACAATGGCCAAAATCCCAAAGGCTGACACCTCAAATGCTAGTTAGGATGTGAAACATCAAGGACTCTTAGTCAATGCTGGTGGAAACACACAAAGTACAGCCACTTTCGAAGACTGGTCTTTCTCGTAAAACTGAACATACTTTTAACTTTGGTATCTAGCAAAAACATTCTTTGGTATTTACCCAAAGGAATTGAAAACATATGTCAATACAAACACCTGCACATGGGTGTTTATAGGAACTTTATTCATAATTGCAAAAACTTACAAGTGACCAAGATGCCCTTCAGTAGGTAAATGCATAAATAAGCTGTGGTAGATCTAGACAATGTAATATTATTCAGCACTAAAGATAAATGAACTATTAAGTCATGAAAATACATAGGAGAATCTCAAATACATATTACCAAGGGAAAGAAGCCAATCTAAAGAGGCTACATACTATATGATTTCACCTGCATGGCATTCTGGAAAGGGAAAAACTATGAAGACAGTAAAAACATTAGTGGTTTCTAGGGATTAGTGAAGAAATGAGGAATGACTAGGCAGAGCACAGAGGATATTTAGGGCAAGGAAAATATTCTGTATACTAGTACGATGGTGGATACGTGTCACTATACATTTGTCAAAACCATATAGAATGCACAATACCAAGAGTGTACCCTAACGTAAACTATGGGCACTGAGTGATAATGATGTGCCAGTGTAGGCGCATCAATTGTAACAACTGTACCACCGTGGGGCCAGACTTTGACAGTGGAGGAGGGTGTGCATATGTGGGAACAGGGATTACATGGGAATTCTGTATTTTCCGCTTGAATTTCCTGTGAACCTAAAACTGCTCCCAAACAATAAAGTTTGTTAATTTAAAAAATATGGTGAGTTGGTACATTTTATGTGTATTTTACAATTTAAAATGAAAATTAGAAAACAAGCATTATTATTACCCATTAAAAAAATACATGGGTAAAATATCAAAGTTCAAGACAGACCAATGAATTTTAATATGATATATTAAGAAAAGCTCATTGTTTGGTACCAATGTTATTAAAAGAAAAAATAAATAAGCATATATCTTTATTATTTTTATAAATAAAATAAATAAAAGGTCACTAATATGCTTTAGATTCTATATATAATCTTTACTGTTTGTAAAGTTTGGGTATAGTATTCAAATAATACTCTCAATTATCTAAAAAGAGTACTCCCTTTTCCAACTACATAGGCTGAATTTTCTTTATATACTTCAAATGAAATATGTGGCAACAGATTAAATGCACAAGCAGATATGAGAATCGAGGTGTCTTCTATCAAAGCAGACATTACATTTACAAAACTGTAAATCAATTCAGTCTTCTACTTTTTTTGTTTTAGAAACTATTTTTATTTTCAAAATGTATTAGTTCTGTTGTGTAACAGTTATGTTACAGTTATGTCTATCACTGTTATTTTAAAATGAATTACTACACATTCTTAAATTTCTATATTAATATCTAATGTGATAACCATTGATAGATATAAATGCACATAAACAAAAGCTGTTTGGAAATTTAATTGTTAAATCGGTGAAGCAATTCCGAATTCAGAGTTTGACAACCACTGCATTAAAATATTGCATGTGTTTTGTATTGAATGTGTCCCCTCAAAATTCACATGTTGAATCCCTAACCCTCAATGTGATTGTATTTGTGATGGCTCTTGGGAGGTAACTGGGGTCAGATGAGGTCATGGGGAGGCCTTTATGATGTGATTAAAGCCCTTACAAGAAAAGACCTGGGAGAATTTGCTCCTTCGAGTGCACAGGCAGAAGGCAGCAGTTTATAAACCAGGAAGAGAACCCTCACGCAATCCAACCATGACAACACCCTGATCTGCACCTGCCAGCAAGATTCAGAACAGAGTGTAAAAATAGAAGGGAAAATGAGAACATATCAAAATATGTTCCTTGGATGTAAACCTTCCCCTACGACATACCATATTTTAAATTTTTGAGAACTCTTCCTACTGTTCTTCCTTTCCTGTCACGATGTACCTCTGTGGCATAGCAGACACTTCACTTTTTTTGTGTTGCAAGACAAAGTATTATCACACGCAGGGTAAGGTGGGAAGGAACAAATACCACCTGGGGACAGTCAGATTTGTGGAGTTTTAGTGGAGTTCAAGAAGTTTCTGAGGTGATTTTCTGAGTGCAAGGGGAACAGGGTCTTGGTGGTCCTACCTGGTCTTGAGGCTGGTAGGCCACAGAGCCCCGCAAGCAGCAGCAGCAGGTGGAACATGCTGTGGTTTCTGGGCTCCAAGCGGCTCGACGGTGGTCCGTTGGCCGGCAGGACGCGGGACTGGCGGCCGCGAGGGCAGCCGGTGTTCTCTGGGGCTGCGGCCCCGGCGGGCGATGGCGGCGCTCAGCACCGGAAGTTGCGGACATCGCAGCTTCCGCCCGAGGCCAAAGCACTCCTGCTGCCTTCCCAGCTGCTGCCCTGCCGCCTGGCTGGCGGGCCGTCTGCCGCTCCGACTGGGCCAGTGTCCTGGTCTCGTCCTCCACACACCGTAACCCTTCCTGGGTGCTTGTAAAAGCGGATTTGTGATACTTTCTGAATTAAAAATCACACACACACACACACACACACACACACACACACATATATATATATATATATATATATATATATATATATATTCATATTTACTAAGGCTGTTTCTAAAATAAAATACAAAAAAGTGAGCTAGCCAGATGTGTGAAAAGACAACAAGATCGGGAAAAGTGGCCAGGCCTGCGCCGTGGCTCACGCCTGTAATCCTAGCACTCTGGGAGGCCGAGTCGGGCGGATTGCTCGAGGTCAGCAGTTGGAAACCAGCCTGAGCAAGAGTGAGACCCCTTCTCTACTATAAATAGAAAGAAATTAATTGGCAACTAATATATATAGAAAAAATCAGCCGGGCATGGTGGCGCATGCCTGTAGTCCCAGCTACTCGGGAGGCTGAGGCAGGAGGATCGCTTGAGCCCAGGAGATTGAGGTTGCTGTGAGCTAGGCTGACGCCACGGCACTCACTCTAGCCTGGGCAACAAAGCGAGACTCTGTCTCAAAAAAAAAAAGAAAAAAGAAAAAGAAAGGGAAAAGTGAGTCGATTTTCATTTGAGGGGAGAGGGCCTGCTACATTTTTTTTCCATCTTTCACTGCCCAATGGACTTGGTAATCAGGCTGTGTTTTTTCCCACCAATCTGGTTCTCCACAGACCCTTAGCTAAAGTTATATTTATATTTACTAAGGCTGTTTCTAAAATTAAAAAAAAAAAAAAAAGTGAGCTAGCCAGATGTGCCAAAAGATTCCGAGAAAGGAAAAAGCGAGTCGATTTTCGTTTTGAGGGAGGGCTTGCTACAGTTTTTTTTTTTTTTTTTTTTTTTCCATCTTTAACTGCCCAATGGACTCAGTAATCAGGCTGTGACTTTTTCCACCAATCTGGTTATCCACAGACCCGTGGCTAAAATTCACGCGATGTCATTCTCTTACTCAGAAACTTCTTGGTACAACGAATACTTGTTCATTCATGGAGTGAAGGAGAGAAGACTCTTGTCCACAACTGCAGTACCTATGTTCCAGTAGAAAGTTCTGGCCAATGCCTCAGAACAGTTTTTAATTTTTTCTAAATTTGGACCCTGGCCTGACACCTATTTTGTCCTATGCCTGACTCAAACACTACTTAATTCCTTTGTACTACAATGCCTCCCATATCCCAGCCTCTCCATCTAGATGCATTATCTTTTCATTCTTTTCAAATCCTAAAGAATGTATTAATCTCTCATACCAATTAATAGAAAGGTAGACACATAAATTACTAAAAGGCCCTGTGGGAACATAGGAAAGTTCATTTCAGGAATCAACACATTTGAAGTGATAGCTGAAATATGATTTTATGGATGCATGCAATTTCAACATAGCAGTCTAAGCCTACAAAGAACAGCAGGAGCCAAAACAAAGCAACAAAAAAATGCATCCAGCTTGTTATCTACATGGGAATAAGTCAAGGTTAGGCCAACACTGTGTCTAGGCAGCAGTTAAGCCAATGCTGGTTTCACCTTGCCTAATAGCAATTAGAACAATTACAGTAAATGCTTGCACTTGTCAATTAATACTCTGAATCAATTTCTAGTTCTTATCTTTCTTTATTCTTTCTCTCCTCAGCCTTTCCCATTTATATCTTTAATAGGCAGACTTCATATTATTACTTATGTGTATGGGTCTCTCCACAACAGAAGATGTACTTCTAAAAGGCAAGAAACAAATCCCATTCAGAACTTATGTATCACAGTACCAATACAGTACCTGCAAAATGGTAGGGTTTCAGTAAAATATTTATGAAATTTTTAAAAACCTGATTTGTGTTTAGAAACCCTGGATTGTACTTAAACCTATGGTTAGAGACACAGGCTTGACAAAGGGAAAAGCAATAACCTGAACAAGGTCAGTTTGTGGACATACAAACAGGGACATCAAACTTACATATAATTTATCCTTGATTATTATTCATTTAGCAGGTACAAAGGAAGTGTTTACTATTTTCAAATTTTGAAGTGGCATCCATGACCAGGGAATTTTACAATTCTTAATAGCAATTCAGAATAAATCAAGGACAATACTAAGATGCACATAAAATATGAAAAAATGTATATAAAAGTAAAAGAAGTTCAGATCTAAATGATTACTTCACAAATGAAGAAATCAGGATGGAAATGAAAAAATTCTTTGAACAAAATGACAATGGAGAGACAAGTTATCAAATCCTCTGGGACACAGCTAAAGCAGTCCTGAGAGGAAAGTTTATTTCCATAAATGCCTATAACCAAAAGTCAAAAATATCACAAAGAGACAATTTAATGAATGGACTCAAAGAGCTGGAAAAAGAAGAACAGACCAATTCTAAACCCAGCAGAAGAAGTGAAATTAACAAGATTAAATCAGAACTTAATGAAATTGTCAACAGAGAAGCTATACAGAAGATTAATAAACCAAAAAGTTGGTTCTTTGAAAAAATAAACAAAACTGGCATGTCTTTGGCTAGGCTAACATAACACAGAAAAGAGAAATCTCTAATAAGCTCCATCAGGAACAAAAAAGGAGATATCACAACCAATCCCAAGGAGATACAAGATATGATATACGAATACTACAAAAACCTTTATGCACACAAACTGAAAAGTGAGGAGGAAATGGACAAATTTGTAGTAACACACAGCCTTCCTAGGCTCAACCAGGAAGAAACAGAATTCCTGAACAGACCAATATCAAGAGCCGAAATAGAAACAGCAATTAAAAAGTTTCCTAAAAAGAAAAGTCCCGGCCCAGATGGTTTCACACCAGAATTTTACCACACTTACAAAGAAGAACTGGTGGCTATCTTGCAGAAATTATTCCACAACATCGAGAAGAATGGAACCTCCCCAACACTTTATATGAGGCAAACATAACTCTGATACCAAAACCAAGAAAGGATGCAACAAAAACAGAAAACTGCAGACCAATATCCCTTATGAATATAGATACAAAAATTTTCAACAAAATACTAGCTAACCGAATCCAGACGCTTATCAAAAAAATTAATCCATCATGACCAAGTGGGCTTCATCCCAGGGATGCAAGGATGGTTCAACATACATAAATCTGTAAATGTAATTCGCCACATAAACAGAAGCAAAACAAAGACCACATGATTCTTTTAATAGATGTAGAAAAAGCTTTTGACAAAATTCAACACCCTTTCGTAATAAGAACACTTAATAAAATAGGCATAGAAGGGATATTCCTAAAAATGATATAAGCCATATATGACAGACCCATAATCAACATCATATTGAATGGGGAAAAATTGAAAGCATTCCCGCTTAGAACTGGAACCAGACAAGGCTGCCCACTATCTCCACTTCTATTCAGCATAGTGCTGGAAGTCCTGGCTATAGCAATCAGACATGAAAGCGGAATTAAAGGTATCCGAATTGGGGCAGAAGAGATCAAACTTTCAGTCTTTGCTGATGATATGATATTATATTTTGAAAAGCCCAAGGATTAACCAAGAAACTCCTGGAATTGATAAATGAATTTAGTAAAGTCTCAGGATACAAAATCAATACACAGAAATCAGAGGCATTCATATACACCAACAACAATCAAATTGAGAACCAAATCAAAGACTCAATATCCTTCACAATAGCAACAAAGAAAATAAAGTACCTAGGAATATACTTAACCAAGGAGGTAAAAGACCTCTACAGGGAGAACTATGAAACACTGAGGAAGGAAATAGCAGAGGAGGCAAACAGATGGAAATCCATACCATGCTCATGGTTTGGCAGACTCGACATAGTTAAAATGTCTATACTACCCAAACTGATCTACAGATTTCCGTGCAATACCTATTAAAATCCTAACATCATTTTCACAGATATGGATAAAATAATTTTATGCTTCATTTGGAACCAGAGAAGTCCCTGCATATCAAAAGCAATTCTAGGCAATAAAAACAAAATGAGAGGTATTAATACACCAGATATCAAACTATACTACAAAACAGTAGTATAGTTTGGTATTGGCACAAAAATTGGAATATTGACCAGTGGAACAGATTCAAGAACCCTCTGATATAAAACCATCCTCATATAGCCATCTAATCTTTGACAAAGCAGACAAAACATACACTGGGGAAAAGAATCCCTTTTTAATACATGGTGCTAGGAAAACTGGATAGCCACTTGTAGAAGGCTGAAAGCAGGACCCACACCTTTCACCTATCACAAAAATCAACTCAGGCTGGATAACAGACTTAAACCTAAGGTATGAAACTATTAGAATTCTAGAGGAAAATGTTGGAAACACTCTCCTAGACATCGGCCGAGGCAAATAATTTACGAAGAAGACCCCAAAGGCAATCACAGCAGCAACAAAAATAAATAAATGGGACATGATCAAACTAAAAAGCTTCTGCACAGCCAAAGAAATAGTCATGAAAGTAAACAGACAGCCTACAGAATGGGAGAAAATTTTCGTATCCTACACATCTGATAATGGGCTGATAACTAGAATCTACTTAGAACTCACGAAAATCAGCAAGAAACACTCAAACAACCCTATCAAAAAGTGGGCAAAGGACATGAACAGAAACTTTTCTAAAGAAGACAGAAGAATGGCTAACAAATATATGAAAAAATGCTCAACATCTCTAATCATCAGGGAGATGCAAATCAAAACTACAATGAGATATCACTTATTTCCAGTAAGAATGGCCTTTATCAAAATGTCCCAAAACAATAGATCTTGGCATGGATGCAGAGAGATAGGAACACTCCTACACTACTGGTGTGACTGCAAACTAGTTCAACCTCTATGGAAAGCATTATGGAGATACCTTAAAGTAATACA